CGAGCCGGGCGGCAGCGGCCGGGCAGGGTCAAGTTCTCGTCCTGTGCAGGGTGAGGGGTTTTGGAGGCGTGAGGAGCCGGGGCGGGCACTGACCCCTGCGAACCCACCCGCTGGCGCTGCCTTGTGCCCTTTTCCTCCTGCCCGTTTTGTATTTCACTGCCCATTGCTTTTGCTGCACCTGAATGGAATATAGGATTGGGTTTTTTTCCTCATTTCCAGTAAATGCCAGTTATCTTCAAATAGCACCACATAAGCAATTCTTCCTGCTTTTTAGAGAGGAAGGAAATGGGAAGTGAGGAGGAAGGAAATGCAGATACCTTGTTCTCCTGGTTTTGTGACAGCCATTCATTCATTATTAGCTGTGTTAAACCTAAGGAAACAGGAACTTGGAGGTACTGGTCAGCTATCAGCTTTCATCTCTGGCTTCACATCAACTTCAGTCTTCACCACCTCTGGGAGTTTGTTTCTTATGACTTTTTCCTGGTATGGAGGGGCCTGGATATAGGAGAAGTGGGATGTTTCCAAAGGCCTCCCTCCACCTTGTCTGTTCCTAAAGCACAGGCTGTCTCTTTGTCTTAATGGGTCCTCTGGAGCTTGGAAGTGAATAGATCCCCTCGCAGCTCTTCATCTGCAGAATTTTGGGCACAGAAATCCTTCCTGACCCCAGAACCTTTGTAACAAAACCCGTCTATGAGAACACCTGTAAAATGGATGGTGTAGCTTCACAAGCTGAAAGGTGGGGTGCCTTAGAGGTATTCCAATGGCTTGGTGTTGCTCCAGATGTCTTATTGCCCCACTTGAGGAGAGGGCTGAGCTGCGGCTCACGGAGCTGTACTTGAGCCTGCCAGCCCTCCTGTATGACTTCTGCCTTGAGCTGGCAGTTGCCTTGCAGCCCTGAGGCCAGTGCAGCTCTCTTGCCAGTTGCATTTTGTAGCTGGAGAGTGGAAACCATATTCAGAAGGGAGCTGTGTGGCTCAAGAACTAGGTCTGGTGGTTCTTGGCATAAGTTGCTGCAAAATGACACAGGGGAAAATGCTGTTAGGGTTGTTTGTGTAGTCTGTGCAAGACCCTTATCTTTTCTCAGCAGTCATTGCAGCTCCAGAGCCTTGCAGATAAAAGCATACAAAGGTTGAGAATCCTTCATCTTTGGGTTGTGGTGTTGCTCCCTCCAACCCCAAGAAACTGCTGCATGGGAGCTGCTGTGTGCTGTGAAGGTGAAGGTAGATTGGGAGTTTGCATAAGAAGTTTATTTGTGTGAATCCCAGTATCACAGTTAATTAACCTCATTAATCAGTGTTTACTGGTACTAACAACGTCCCAGCTCTCACTTTCCTGGCAAATTAACAGTCTATTTTCTTCTTCAACCAAGATAAGACCAGTGTGGGAGAGCATGAGAAACCCTTTCTGGCCCTTTAGATAGAGATGTGTGTGTTGCCCATGGAGGACTGGGTTGGATAAGAATGATGAAACCAGCACTAACTGCACAATCTCACAGAAAACTAAAAAGCAAGGGGCCAAGCTGGGTACCTGTCACAGGATGTTGTCTGATGGTTTCACAGTGAGCCCAGACACCAGAGAGGAGAGACAGGATGGATTACAGGAATGTTACTCTGCCCTAAATCTTTGAGGACTTAACATAGGACAGCTGCTAGTTGCTGGGGGGCTGCAATTACTTATAGCAGGCTGATTCTCATGTGCTGCCAGACAGAAGGACTTGTTCCTGCACCGTCACAAGCTACCAGTGCTTGTATCTGTGTAGAAAACAGTCCCTGTTACCAGCAATACAATCTGCAGTGTGTTTCTGGCTGCTCTGTAAGTCAGACTGCTTGATGTGCTGTGTGCTGAATCTGTAACCAAAATTCTTTCCATAATCTATATCCTCTCCATTGTGCTTGTTGTCTGCACTGTTGGTGAGCTGATACCCTGTCTTTTACACAGCACTGTCCCACTGCTGCTTGAAATCTCTCTTTTCTGGAGCTACAGCTGATCTCTATGTACTAAACCCAGACACAGCATCTGGGTGGACCTCTGCATCTCATACTTCAGATGTGGGCTATGTCAGTTTGAGAGGTGGTGTTTTATTATAGTTACTGCTCCAGGATGTTAGGGGATTGTGAATTAGAGCATCTAGAAAGCACACGTGGCAGAAATCATCACTATAATATTTGAGGCCAAATGGAAGTGCTGCTCAGGTTTTTCAATGCACAATCTGCTATAGCTGAGAGGAGCCCCATGGGTTAATTACCATTGGATTTCAGAGTGAATGAAACAGCTGAGTTGTTCTAGGTTTATATTTTGCTGATTTCCAGTTCCTCAACTGCCCTCGTGTTTTTCAGTCTGTATGCTCAGCTGAATATTTGCTCCAAGATGTTAAACAGCTGACTTTTTTTTCACATACTTATAACGTGATGTCACATAGTTCAGTGAGTTTTCACATGATCCCAAGAAAGCTGAATATCAGGCTAACTCCACAACATCTGCTCTGGGCCAGGGTAGTCATGTATGGTGGAACAGTATGCATCCAATGGGGATTGCATACTTTAACCCTTGGCCACCAGCTCTCATGGTATAGATAGATTCTACCCTTTCTGCATCCTATTTACAGCACAGAATATTTTCTTTCTACCTCTTTAGTTGCAGAGAGTGAAGAATGAATATGGTAGAGAATATGGAAATGTGAGCCTTAAACTTTTTAGCTTTTACTTTAATTGCACTCTCCAGTCATCCCCAGAGACTTATTTTACAATATGACTACTTGTAACACTTAAACCTGTACTGCATTAGTGGGTATTTCTTGGTGACCAGTGTTTTGGTTTTTTTCTTTGAACATGACTGATGTTTTTGGGCAGCTCATTTTTTTTTTCACTGTCCAACTTGAGAAATATTACCTAGCCTTATTTTTGTGACCTTGCAAGTGGTCCCTGTGTGAAAAATTCAGCTGTCAGTGAATTTAGACCAGTACTCTTCATTTTTTGAAGTGCCAGTACTCTGATAGATATTTTCAGTTTTCTTTCTAAATAGCTCAAACTAAAATGTTTGTGTTTTGGTGTTTTGATATGGTTTGAATAATTGCAGTATTCTGCAAACTGAGACTTTGGTTTTTTTTTTACCCCCCTACAGATAAAGGGATATTTATTATCCAAAGTGAAGACTCCAATTTGTGCATTAATGTGGACACAGTTGGCCTTGTTCTGGAGGACTGCAGTCAGCTCTCAAAGGACATGTTATGGAAGTGGGTATCCAATCGCCGTCTTTTCAACGTCGGCAGAAGTACCTGCCTGGGGCTGAACATCAATAGACCTGAGCAGCCATTGAGTATGCTTGAATGTGATTCAACTCAGTACTCCTTATGGTGGAATTGTGATGGAAAAGCACTAGTTGGTGTATCAGAATACAAATTAGCTGTTGAAAACAGCAAACGTATTGTGGCCAAAAAAAAATCTACTGATCAGTGGAAACAGTACATGTCCTATGATGAAGACCTTTGTGAACACCCGTTTCAAGGTAAATCTAAAATGTTGTCGTAGAAATGTAGATGTGAAAAGTTTTCAAAAGTTCTTTTGAAGCAAGGTCAGGTGCTTATGATCCCTCCCAGCTTCTGCTGTGGTTTGGAACTCAGATTTTGGTTTTTTTTTATATGCAATTGTTGAGGAAAGCATATAACACCATTGATTTTTTCCTCATCTGTTATATGGACCCAAAAGAGCACCAGTATCCTTGCAAAGCAGGTAATCCTCATTTCAAATCCTCTGTAAAATAGAAAAGGGGGACTAAGAATTTGCTGTTGCCTGTCCTGAAGCTTTCATTATCAGAGGAACCCAAAGAGATAACAAAGGATTTGGAATTTCCATCACTGAAAATCAGTCTGTGATCACAGCATGCATGAGCAAAATATTTGCAGTGTTCAGCACCTGGACTCTGAACATGCCAAACTTTGGAGCAGAGATCAGGCTTTTGATTAATACTGCTGTACAGCTAGAGAAGGCATAGGAATGTATGTCAAGATCTCAGTCTGCAGACCTGAGCAGTTTTCTAGGTATAAGGACTAAGATAAACCCATTGTCTACAAACAGCAACAGAGCGACTGTACCTTGACCCCTTCAGCAGCATTCCTGTAGAAGTAAAGGCCTAATGTTTGCACAGTGTGTCTCAGACTGGAGCTGTTGATTCTCCCCATTTGAACTGGGTGTTTGGGTTGCAGATCTGGTCATGGTGTTTTCCTCTGTAGGTCTAGCTGGGATTTGTGATAACTGGGAAAGCACTACAGCATCCAGCCTCTTCTTCAAAACCTAGTGGAGTTTATGCTTGAAACCAGACAGAAAATATTTAAACTCACAAAAAGTCTTGCACATTTTCTATTTACACATAGCAAGATGAAAGTAAACCTGGTTTAGCCCTAGTGGTGCAACATCTGGTAGAAGAGGATCAGCCTCAAGCAAGTGCTTCTAGCCTGTTTTCATGACAAAACTTATTAACTGCGTTGGCAAAATCTCTTTCACCTCCGATTTCTATTTTCCTCCATCTACTGTTGCATGTGCAAATGCAGGCCAGCTGGCTACCCCACCAGGCTGGGGGAGCATCTCTACCTTCAAAGAAAAAAATGTGTATAACTGTGGCAAGAGGTCTATAGCTGATGAATTTGGTTTCTGGCCAGGACTGATAAAATCCCTTGCACCTCCATAACTAGCAACATGGTAGCAGGCAGACAGAGAAGCAGTCCTGATTTATTTTTTAACCTGTGTTCTTTGTATCATCTGTTCATATCAGAAGGATTTAAAGGGGATTTACAATGTGTAATCTGCTTTTTTATATGTGCACAGCCTGCCATTAACTGTGGAAACCTCTAGGAACTTGGCAGGATGTACTGATCTTGTAGTTGAAGGACTTTGATCTTTAGGCTATCAACATGGGATCTTTGACAAACAATTCCATTTTAAGTGTGATTGGGGTTCTTTGACCTTTTGTAGAAGCTTGGAGGTTAAGGAGACACTCACTAAGGTAAAGCTTTTACAGCTTTCAGTTGCACTGGATTATCGTAATATTTTGGCACTCAAAATACAATAGGAAAATATTTTAATTATTTTATAAGGCATTAATTGTGACAGCAGCCTTATGTAACATCAGTTCTTTAGTTAGATTATTATTCCCCATGGTATAAAATCTTATTTATAAAAGTTTATTTAATATTCCTATATCTTTCACATTTCCATTCCCATAGGATGACAAAGATGATGGAAAAAACATTAGAAATCCACTTTATAAAGTGCCATTTGCATCTGAATGTACATTGCTTCTGCTAACTGTTGTTTTATATAGTTGTTCTGAAATGTAAGTGCAGATTTTATATGATAATTGTTCAGTTATTATTCTGTTCACTGTAGTTATGCTGATTCTACTTGTAGTGTTATCAATTATAAATTAAAATGAGAAAACAACTTCAGACATTTTGTTTTTATCATTGCTGCTAAACACAGGAATAGTGAAATATGGGGGTGAACTAATTTCTGTGGCTTTCATTCTTTTAATCTCTGCTTTTTGTTTATTCTAGAAACATACACCTTGCTGGGGAATTCTTTTGGCTTCCCGTGCATTTTTCCATTTAAATATAACAACAAGTGGTATTACGAGTGTACCAGAGATGGAAAGGAATTTGACTGGTGTGCTACAACAACTCACTATGAAGAAGATGAAAAATGGGGGTTTTGCCCAACTGCTGGTAAGGTGTTGCTTCTCTTCACTTAGCCCTAATCCCCAAGGGAATTTTTGCTCTTCAATAAGAGTTCTAGGACACACTCAGTTTTGGATTACTTTCCTTCTTTTGGTGGAGCGTGTCTTTAAAAAAATCAACCCAGTGAGACTTCAGAAATTTTATCACAATTTATCATGTTTGGGCTTTGAAGACCCAAATCCTCCTCCCATATATGAAGCTACAGAGGGTGAGCAAAAGGATGTTATTCTGTGAACCCCAGTGGCTTTACCCGGCAGCTAAACCTCTCTTTTCCTCTCTCCTGGTGATACGTAGGAGCTTCTCTGAAACAGGCAAAGTAAGGGTTGCTCCTGCAAAGTCATGTTCTGCTTTTGACTGTGTTGCATCTTGCACATTCCTTTTCTTCTGTGCACTAGTTAGACACAAATGTCTTGGCCCTAAAAATCAGACAGATTTTGGATGAATAATCTTCACAAATATAAAGTATTATAAATAGCATCTTGTTGCTTCGTGCATAAATATGCAAAATGCTATCTTCTACCAGCAGAAGGGGTTTGGAAAAGCCCTCCCTGCTCAAGCTATGTTTCATATCTCTGTTCCAAAACATTTTATAAACAGCTGTAAGTTTGTCTCCGTAATAGGGATTTCTGAGCAACCATCGTAAATACATCGTATTTTCAGCCTTCGTTATGCATTGAAATTGTAGAAAGTGTATTGTCTTGAGTGTAAGGCAGAAGAAGATGCAGCTGACTGCTCCTCCACAACTCGGGTGAGGTCATTCATAATTTGAATGTTGAAACATTCAGCTTTAGGAACAAATGATCAGCTAGTATACATTAAAATGTAGCTTCATTGGCTTAGTGACAGATGTGAAAATCACCACCAGTTGCAGTTCAGCTCCTGAGTATTTTATCAACCATATGGAATGTGGAGCAACATTTTATTGTGTTAGTGCCCTGTTTCCATATGTTCTTTTACAAAGAAACACAAAAGGATTTCACAGTCGTGCTTCCATTGGGATGCTACTGCCATTAATTAATCCCGTTGTTCGAGGTGTGGGATTTCTGATTGATGTGTAGTCTTGGGCTGTTGGTGATGAGCCTGTTTTTGAGCAGAAAGCGGCTGTGACTTTTTTTGGAAGAAGAACCCTGACACGCACCTTTGCTACCAGTTCAACCTTGGCTCCGCACTGACCTGGCATGAGGCACGGGCTGCCTGTCAGCTGCAGGGAGGAGACCTGCTCAGCATCACCCATCCTGAGGAGCAGAACTACCTAAGTAACTTAAGCAGTGAGTAGATGTTTCTCTGGGGACCTTACAGGAAACCTGTAGTTAGATTTCCCCTTCACCTATGAGAAAGGGGTAAGCTGTGGAGCTTAATATTCTGTGTAATGTCTTTCCCGCTGCTGCTTAAGAGGCTTCATCACATAACACACCTCAGTGGAGCTGTTTGACAAAGCAAGGGTGAAGGTAATTTACAGCCTAAATAAACTGAGTGCAGAAATGGTGGTACATGTTATGTGAGGGTGTCATTTCTTAATTCTCCTTCCCCTCAGAGATCCCCATTCCTTCTTGCTGCTGTGGTTATGGAGTGTGTTTGGTTTATTTGGAGAATTATAAAATATTTACCTTCTCTGCAGAGTACCCTGGTGTCACTTCTCCTGTTAAGTTGCCTTTGCAAGCTGGACTTCACCACATGTGGATTACTAGGACGTTTTTACAGGCTTGAAGTAAATGGCCTGTGTGGGAAAAATTCCATCTCTGTTTTCATAAATAGATGGTACTCCTCTGAGAAGCCTTTTGCTTTCCTCATTGCAGCAAGAGTCTCAGACCCATTTTGCAGGGTCTTCTGATAGGCTGGCTTTTGTAGGTGTTTTTGTGTGTGTGGAGGAAGGGCTGCCTCAGGTGTCTTGCCCATTGCTGCCTGTCATTGCTGATTTTCAATTGCAGGATATAAGCTATCAGGAAGGTTTACAAATTATTTCATTAGCTTCTTGATATGCCTCCAGGCTGTAAAGAGACTGAAAGTTGTTTACGTTATGGAAAGCTGTTGTAGATTTAACTTCTGAGGTCAACAACAGCTTCTACAGGAAAGGTCTGCAAGATGAGTGGCTTTTGAAGGATGCAGACTGTTTCTATGGACAGAAAAAACAGCCTGAATTTTCTGGAGACTGATTTGAAGTTTTGTTTTATTCCTATTGTAGCAAGTCAGGACAGTAGATCTATACCCGTAGATATTTTAAAATCTGGTGAAACTGTGAAGTGTTAGTATGCTTATTTTTTATGTTTCAGGGCAGTTAAACACCACAGATATGATGATGTGGATGGGGCTGAATCGACTGGAGGAAGGTGCCGGCTGGCAGTGGTCAGATGGAGAACCGCTGGTGTTTGTGAACTGGAGTCCAAGTACTTGATTTTCCTCTTGGATATGTTATAGCAGTGTAATTATATGCCTTCTGTAACTGCAGCTTAGATTAAAAAAATGCTGTTCCTACAGCTGCAATTGAAAACGGAATCAAGTGAACTAGCATGCCTCTTTTTTTTTTTTTTTTTTAATTAGAAGTATTTCTTCATGGCAATGAACTGAAAGCTCTTTCTCAGGATGCAGCATGAGATGCTGTCCATTCAAAGCTGGTTTTGTGGAGGAAAAGAGTTTTAATTTGTTTACATTAACATGCTGTAATTATCATTAGTACATTAATGTGAGCTTAACAACTTGTTTTGCTACATTGTGAGGTGTGTCCGTCGGCACATACAGCATAAATACTGGAACTTGTTTCAACCTCTCATCTGATAGCAGCAGCCAAGGAGGGATCGCCACACACGTATGCATGACAGTCAATGTTGACCTGTTCATAGTATTGGTGTAGTATTACTAGGAGTCTGGGTGTGCAGGAATGTTGATGCATTCATTCAGTAAGATGCAGAGAGCCTTACAACACCATTTTACAAGTAAGAACTGGATTTCTGTAATTGTGTGCTTCTTAAAAATGTCTTTGCAGATGTCTCTGATTACCATTTTAAAGAAAAGCATTGTGCAGTGATTGATTCTAAGTTGAAGTATGGCTGGAAAAGTTATTTGTGTGAATCTGGATTGCCTTTCATATGCAAAAAAAATTTAAATAAGACAGAGCATGAAACATTGGGTAAGTCTCTCTATGTCACTGTATGCTATTTGTGGGTATGGAAGGAGAACAAGAGGAAGCCACCTGAATATGAAGTCTGCAGAACAGTCTTAGCTGGACTAAATGTATAGGTTTGCTAGTTTAAGTTGAATACAATTTAATTTAACTGAATCACACACACAGAATCACAGAATCCTAGGGGTTGGAAAGGACCTCAAAAGATCATCCAGTCCAACCCCCCTGGCAGAGCAGCATCCCCAGGAGTAGGTTACACAGGAACACCTCTAGGTGGGTTTTGAATGTCTACAGAGAAGGAGACTCCACAACCTCTCTGGGAAGCCTGTTCCGGTGCTCTGTGACCCTCACAGTGAAAAAGGTTTTCCTCAGGTTTGTGTGGAACCTTCTATATTTCAGCTCCTCCAGCCTTTCCTCATAAGGAAGATGTTCAGCCTTGGCTCTGCACTGAACTCTTTCAAGCAGTTCCTTGTCCTTGAACTGAGGGTCCCAGAACTGGAGTTACTAGTGACAGTAGTAACACGTTCCTCTGTTTAAATGCAGGCCTGGAAAACATGCTGAGAGTCTTAAAGCTCACAAATAATTTTAATATACACAGCATTTAGTTGGGTCCTTACATCATCAAAGGCTTACACAATGGTCATTTTCTCTATATTACAGTAGAGCCACACTTCTGAGTTTAACAATAAGTTCTCAGCTTCAAATAGAATTAACCAGTGGCCCACGGAGAAGAAAGTTGTATAAATGCCACTTAAAACTTGTACATTTAGAGAAGTGTTTACATAATGAGTATAGGCTGTATAGTACATGGACTGTCTCAGACTCCCATTCTGTGGGAAAGTAAAACACAGAACTGAGTTTATTAGAACATTTTTTTTTTTTTTTATAAGAACAACTTAGATTGATTCAGCTTCTTCATGACTTAGAAGGAAGTTTTGCGCTGTGGTGCAGATAATGAGAAAGGACTTGCAAACTCTTCATACATAATGCATCTGAAAAAGCTTTAGCTGTTTTTTTTAAATCAGATTCAGATGTAATAAGGGAGATACAACATGTTTTAAGCTGAAAAACAGATCTGTTAGTGTGTTTGCACTCCTGCAGTCCAAACAGTTGAGTCATTAAATAAAGTGGTAGAAATTTAAGTTTGTTTGGTAAGTGGTGCTCCACAAAGTGTTTTGGCTGGTTGTGTTGTCTTCTTGGATGACTTCTGTTTTCAACATTTGAAGATTTAAAAAAGAAAAAAAAAGTTCTGAATGTGTTATGAACATAGTATAACCTTGGCAATTCTATCTAATGTGCACAAACTTTGTATGCTTAATTGAAAGACACATGGAAGTATTACAGCACTCGTTGTGACACTGGCTGGTACCCACACAACCGCAACTGCTACAGGCTCCATCAGGAGGAGAAGAGCTGGAACGATGCTTTTCTCTCATGCCAAAGTGACAGCAGTGGTCTCATTAGTATATCCTCTATAGCAGATGCAGAGCTGCTTCTTAACCTGTTTGAAAGTGGTGAGTCTTGAGAGTTACTTTAATGTGTGCAGCATTTCTTGAAGTGTTTTGTGATGCTCTTCTGTGCTCTTTTAATATTTTTAGCCATTTAAGCACTATATTATGCTTCACTCAAATTATGTTTACAAAAAAAGAAGGCATGATGCATGCTCCTTCTGGGAGTCTTAAAAATGCATAGCATCACCTTTTCCAATAATCATACTTCAAAATGAAACATGGTGAGGACAAAGTAAGCACATTAGCTTTTGTCCTTTCCTGTTCTCAGCTGGGTCATTGCAAACTGTTGTGAAATATTCGGTGATCCTTCTCGTGCGAGAACTGTGCTTAGAAGCAACAACAATTCAAAGTATCTTCTGCTTTCAAGCTGGCCTTGTCCACAATGAAAAGTTGTTGCTGCTGGTCTGTTGGCAGAGTCTCTTTCAAAGGCAATGAGATTTATCAAAGGTGTTCTGCTAGTCCACATTGTTCTAGGAGGTAGCATAATTATACAAGGAGCTTAATGAACAAAAGCTCTTCAGCGCAGCAGTGCCAAGATTTTTGTCATAACAGCAGCAAAGCAAAGGGATTATTTTGTGTCTCCAGCTGACATCAGTGTGCTGGCACAGCTGCACAGTTTGTCCATGAATTTAAGTTTCCCGGAGCTGGGGCACAGGAACATGTTTTATCAATTCTGTCCCATCCCTGTGGTTGCAGAATGATGCATTACATTAGATTTACTGGACATCATCTCCCGTTATCATCCCTTCTGTCACCCATGCACTTCTCTGTCTTACCTTTCTCCTAAGAGATTAACCACTGTATCATCTTCCTTACCTCTGTTAATACCCTCCATACTGTTTTTTCCAGAGATGCTATAATAGATAGAGACAATTGTAATCAGCATTGAAGTCTGCAGCTTCTGTTTCAGAACTACTTCAGGCTTCTCTTCCAGAGAAGGTCTTTGGTGCCTGAAAGCCAGTCTGATTTTTCTGGCTGTAGTAGCTGGTCAAGTAAGACATTCCATCACACCACAAGGCTTGTTTTGCTTATGTTTGCCAGCCACTGTGGCTACAACTGTGCTGTCACTGTCACAAGCATCACTCAGAAAAACCTAAAGCTGGATGTACCATGGAAGATTATAAAAGAAATCTTTCCTTTCCATGTCAGGCTTTCTGCCCTGTGCACTTAAAAAAAAGGCACATGCTCTTGATTTGTATTTTTCGGGATTTCAAAGCGTATTCTTGTTTATGTTTACCTGTTTTTAAAATAATTTAGTCAAGGGCAGTAGAACATTATCTCATCAATAAGGCTTCTTCAAGTTCATGCAGGTTTGTTTGGTTTTTTTCCGGAAAGAAGGTGATTCTTAAAAATTATTCATGAGATTTTCTCAATAGAGGTTTTGATGTTACAGGAACAACAGGCGTTATTTCTTCAACCTGAAAATCTGAACTCGCTTATTCCTTTACAGAAAATGTAACTGAAACATGGATTGGGTTATACAGTAATGACACCTCAGTTGTTTTTGAGTGGGCTGATGGCACCCCAGTAAAATTCTCTAACTGGCACAGCAAAGAACCTGACACCTTTCAAAGAACAGGACAACTCTGTGTTTCAGCACAAGGACCTGTAAGTTCCCTTTTTTGTTTTTTTTTTAAGAATTAGACACTTTTATTTTAGCTCATAATACTTAATTTTCTCAATGTGCATACTTCTTAAAATGCATAACTTATATAATGCCATAAGTGGCATTATATATTTTTTTCTTTTATGAAGTATGTTTTGTCCAAGTGTGAAAACTGTATCAAAAGAGTTTGTTGTCTCTACAGTAATGGGTCCTTATTGCAACGTTTAACTCATGGGAAAGACAAGACAATTACCTGGAGAAGTGGGTTCCCGTTGGAAGCAGAAGAGAGGACTGACTTTGGTGAAATTGCAGGGTTTAGATGCACAAAACCATATTTTACTCAGTTTTCAAGGGTAAACAAACAAACAAAAATATAAAATGAAAAGGAGATTCAAGATATAATTCTTTAAGTGTTATTTTTGGTACATGTCCAGTATGTATGGATGTCTGAGAATTAAATACTACAAACTTTGTAATATCTTGGGAAAGGACTGTCCAAATATAAAGATTAATCTTACAAAGAACTATAATAGATAAGGAGAAAGTTGAGTACAGGATTATGAAAAGCAAGTGCTCTGGCATGGCCTTAGTGTTAGTTACTTAAGATGCATTACAGCCCAAAGACCAATTCAAAGAGACAAACTCTTTCATGTGGTTAATTTGAAAAGTGCTGCTGACAATGTTGGTAGAAATAAATGGGCCATCTTAGGGTAAGTAGATTGAGTGAGAAAAATTGCTTGTTTTTACTTTAAAGTTTAAATAGCAGGAGGGAGTGTAATCTAATGTGTGTGTATAGATGTGCATGAGAATATGGGTATGTACAGAATGTTTTGGTTTTTTCCCTTTAGGAAGGACGTTGGAAGGTTAAAAAATGTGAAGACAGATCTTTCTACATTTGTAAAAAAGCAGGGGAATTTAATCATGTCTCTCATGAGCAGGAATCAGGTTGTGCAGAGGTAAGGGATTTTGTTTGTTTTAGAAACTTACTATAAAAACAGAATTACATAGGAAATCTCTAAATAAGCTACAGAACATATGGATGTAAATAGATAATTTTAGTTTTTCATATTAAAGACATGCATGTTTTACTAGCAAAAATCTCACTGTTTGCCTTAAAAATATGTAAACTACATTTTAATGTAAGGTTAAAAGTTTACCCAAAATGCCTTTCATGGCTGGTTGTGTTGTCAGCAGTTGTGACCCAGGATCCTATCTCTTTCTAGATCAAAAGTGAAAACTCTTTTTCCACCATCTGTGCAAATAATGGCTGTTACATGATGCCTCACCCCACACATGGTTTTCATTCATTGAAACAGGAGTGTCAGGGTGAAAACTGATCAGTTTCATTGACATGGAGAGTGAACTCTTCCACTAGTACATTAGCATTCCTTTTGCTTTCAAACACAAATGGGAAGGAGCTCAGCTATCTAAATAGGGCATTACAACAGATTTTCAGGCTTCTAGGCTCTGCATTCTGGTAGTAAAACGTAACATGTTAAAGTAGGATTTTATTTGCCATAAAGTATGATTTTATAGTCTATAAAGAACAAACTTGTAGACTTTGTGTTGTTAAAATTTTGTTCAGAATTCTGAAGGAGTTTTGTGAACTTTTTTATCAACAAAAGTCTCTCTTGTCTAACTTGCTTTATCTTCTAGCTCATTGTGTTCTTTTTAAAATTTCTTGTCCTTTTTCTTTCAGGAGACTTTATTGTGGCATTTCAATACTTAAAGGGGGCCTGTAAGAAAGATGGGGACAAACTTTTTAGCAGGCTCTGTAGCAATGGGACAAGGGGTAATGGTTTTAAACTGAAAGAGGGTAGATTTAGTCTAGATAGCAGGAAGAAAGTTTTTACAATCAGGGTAGTGAAACACTGGCACAGGTTGCCCAGAGAGATGATAAATGCCCCATCCCTGAAAACATTTAAGATTGGGTTGGACCCAGCTCTGAGCCACCTGATCTAGTTGAAGATGTCCCTGCCCATGGCAGGGGTTGGACTAGATGTCCTTTCAGGTCCCTTCCAACACAAACCATTCTGTGATTCTAGGATTCTTGAAAAGTCAAGAAACACAACCAGTTTAGTTCAACTACAAGCAGGTTGAAGCTGAACTGTTTGGCGTTGGAGGCAGTATTTCCCCAGACAGTGGTCAGATCCAGTGTTCTGGAGGCAGAAGTTACTACTTAGTTCCAGCTTAACATTTTCAGAAGTTTGGGGTGCTGTGTAAATTTCACTTGGACCAATGTATTTCATTACTCAAGAATTCTGTGTGTAACTAGTGTCAGAAAGGTTTGTTATAGTCCTGACCATGTGAAAAGTGTGCAGAGCCTGAAGACTTCCAATTGTAGTCAGGAGCTTGACAGCACTTCAGCTTTTGATACCTCACAGGGTTGAGACTCAAGAGATTGAGTAACTGGTAGTTTGGTCTGCTCTAGCTGACCTCCTACTCCAGATAAATTTCCGTGTCTTGATGTTTCACACCTTGTGAAAACATCTGCTGAGTCCTTTATAGTCCCTGGGTTTTGATAGATACTTTTCCTGATGTGAAAAAAGTTACATTCATTTAATTAAAGCAAGTCAGTACTAAGCTTACTCAAAACAACATTTGATTTAGACATTTTGTCTTAACAACTCACTTGTAACATTCAATATGTATGTTATTGGCCAGATTTTCCAGGGCTATGTCTTTATTTAATCCAGATTTACATTTTTTTCCACCCATTTTCTTGTTGCTGACCTACCTAAATGTACAGACTATCTGCTGAGGTTTCTCACATTTGATCTTTTGCTTCATTAACCTTGTACTGTCATTCGTGTTGAATTGCTGGTAGAGTCTCAGGGAGCTTTGGCCTCGGGCACAGTTGTTTGCTTTTCTAAAGCTTTACAGTCCTACATGTTATTACTGAGCTTTCATCTCATGTTGATTTTATGACTTGTGTATCAGATGAACTCGCCTTTAACGTATTCTGTGGTTCTGCTGGTTGCAGTTTTTGTAATATGTCCATACCAAGTTTCTGCAGAAACCTGAGCTCTTCTTTTCCAGCACTCCTGTCACCCTAAGACGTAAAATGTACTAAACACTTTCTTCCCCTAGCAGGTCAACTATTCTTTTTTCCTAGTCAGCAGGCTATTAATGAGAATAATTTTTTATTGCAAAGGTCAGATTCTCTGGCAGTTTTCCCCAATACTGAAATAACAGATTTAAACATTTTCTTTCAACCAGCTTTTGTAACAGGTTGTGGAGCTGTCAGCTGCTTGATAATTGAGTTGGAGGTTTCTGTGTGCAGAACTGACTGTGTTTGTGCTGGCAAATTTCTCTGGTCCCCTACACTTTAATTAGTACTTCAAAAGGTAACAGTATAGTGCTGAATTGAGCATTTGTCTTTATGGCTGTTGTAGCAGGAGGGAATTGTACTTTTGAGAATTGCTATTACAGCTACAAACCCTCTTAAAGATCAGAAAGGCAGCTGCTCAGAATAAGGGTCCGTTTGGTCTCATGTTCTGCCTCCCACAGCTGGCTGCAAGTGATGTTTGGGGCAAAGCAGGACAGGGCAAATACAGATAGAGCTTCCCCCAGTTTTCCCTTGACCTCTCAACCGTTCTGGGATTTCCTTTTAAGATTTGCGTATCTTATCAGCCTGCATAGAGTATCACCCTTGAAGTGGTTGATAATTTCTTCTTGGACTCATACAAACTCTTTGCCTTCATAGTATTACTTAGATAATGGATCTATAAATCTACCCTTTGAATAAAAAAATGGCACCTTCTTTCCGTGTGGAGCCTTCCCCCTGCTAGCTTATCTATTTTTGTTGTCCCCAAGGTCTTGTACTGAAGTAGTCACCCACTTTGATGGCACTAACCATTTTGTAGACCAATGTCATACCCTCCCTAAGGCATCACCTCTTTCTGGGCTGAGAAGTCCCAGCCTGTTCAGTTCCTGCTTGTGTGGAAGCAGCTTCATGTATTTCATCATACTTGTTGCCCTTCTTTTCTATTATCCTTCTCTGAGACTAGGGGTCAGATTTTTTTAAAAATGGCAAAAAGTTAATTTAAAAGCACAATGAACAATGAAAATATTTGTTCTTTCTGTCCTCATAATTCTTTAAGCTTCAATTTGACTTTCTGACTAAGCTGATGTTTCATGGAACTGAACCATCATAACCCCCAAGTTTTGTTCATGCATGGTAGGAGTGAGGTAGCTGTCCCTCACTTCATACATCATAAATGATTGTGGGGTGCAGGACTGGTTCCTGTGTGCATCACTTCGTATTTATCTGCACAGAATGCCATCTGCCATGATGTTTTAAGTTTGGAATTTCTCAGTCTGTGCTTTTCCTCAATACAAGCTTACTGGCCTCCAGTTACTCCACAGTTTTGTGATTTTCTTTAAAGATGAGTGTAAAATAACTTTACTTCAATTTTTAGGCACCAAGAAAGCTTTAAGAGGGTTACACAGTGCCATTTGCTCCAAATTAAAATTTTGAGAGATTAGGATCACTGTGTTTGCCTCCTTTGAACTGATGGATTTATCACTCAAGTATCCACTTGAAGGAAACCAGCCATTTGCTGTTTCTTGCTGCGTCCCCACAGAGGGTTTCTTAGTCAATGTTTAGCCCTTTTCCAGCCTGTACTGCCCTGAGTTTAAGTGCACATTGGAGTGGAAGAGGTGTTACTGTGTCCCCAGGCACTGCAGGGCCCTTGGCACCTGTCAAAGAACTTTTCCTGCAGGGACGTTCTAGCTCCTTGGTACAGAGACAGGAGAGACCCTCAACCTGGACGTTGGCTTTGCAAACAGAAATAAACAACCGAGTGCTGCATGTGTGTCATGCAGGTGAAACTACAGACTTTGATACTGTGGTTCTTTTTGCTTCAGTGCTTCCTTCCCATAACAAAGGCTGTGCCAAGCTGTCTGCCAAGCACGGAAGGGGGATGATGGAAAAAAGCAGCAGTGCTGCCAGCTGTCCTGACAGCAAACGCGCTCCTAACTAGAAGCTGAAATTTGCCCCCCTTGTTTTAGCGGGGCTGAAGGATGTACATAATATTTGACTGCTGTCCTGGATAGGTCTGTAGCATCTTCTTGTGCATTTTATTGTTCTTGAGGACAGAAAGCAGAAAAAGAGCTTGTTTATGTCCTGTTTTTCTCCTTTTGCCAGTAACCAGCAAGTGGTGTTTGATGGTGCTGGCCTGGGTCTGGTGCTTGCTCCCTGTTGGGCTGTTTGGTGAGCACCTCCCTTGTGGAAGAGCCAAATCAAGGTTGGGTGGTTCTCCTGTCTGTGTGGGGCTTCATGTGTCGACAGGATGGTTTATTATCTCTTTATTTTTCTAGTCATTTAAAACACTTATGCAGGATAGCCAGGTGGGAATGTTGCATGAAATCCTAACAGGCAGGACTCGCTAGTCCTGGTAGCATCTTCGGGGCTCCTAGAGATGAATAACAAGAAATAAGAGATGAATAATAAGAAATAAGTCAAGCTGATCACTGGCTCAGTGTTCTGACTCATAAACCATGAAAATGTATTATTTTAATTTTGCTTTATTAAAGTAGGATGAGTGTTAATTGGAATTCTTTATAATTTATTTATTTATTTTGGAAGTCCTATTTGAGGAAGAGAAAGGAAGCTGAGAAAAGGTAAATAACTGGAGTGCATTGCTGCATGAAAGGCCAGCAATTTCTTTAACAAATATTTCTGTTTACAGTTGAAGACAAAGGGCAGTTTTAATTGTTGTAACAACTGAACTGAAGCTGACATGGCAGTGCTTACTCTGTCTTTAAGGTATTAGATACCAGTAATGAGTTACCACAAGTGGAAACCATCAAGTGCTACTACACACTTCATGCAAAGAGATGGCTGGCTGAGGGGCTTGGTGTACCTCCTTCAAAATCAGTCAGTAAAACAATATTCTGAGTATGAAATTGAAACAAAAGTAATATGGGAAGAGTACCTTATCTGTTGACCACATTTTTGTCATACCCATCAAAGATGTTTTTGTGTATATGTATGTTAAGCCAGTTTTTGCACCATTTAAGGATTTAAATTTTAATTTTTTTTAAGTTTGCCCACTTTTCAGTGACCTTGAGGGTAGCTACTCTTGAATCACAGTAGAAAGGAAAAGGGCTGTAAGGACATCAGTGATGTTCAGACAGAAAGTACAAAAGGGGATGAAGTTTCTAACAACTGCAGAATAATTAATAATCTATAAAATAATGTTCATTTCTTTTAAGGGATGGGAAAGACATGGTGGATATTGTTACAAAATCGACAGTACCCCTCGAAGTTTTGAACATGCTTCCAGTGGTTATTTCTGCCCATCTGCACTTGTATCAGTAACAAACAGGTAGTTAATCCTTTTAGACAGTGCCAAGATGCCTCTAACAAGAGCTATTCTAATTTTAGATAGTGTTGCATGGTGAAAGATATTACCATTATGAAATAATATTTGCATGAGAGGTGAGTATAATTACTAACATTGGCTAAAATAAAGGTTGCATTTTGCTTTATTTTTTAATTGAAAGTAAATTTTGTAAAAAGCAATTGTGAGGTTTATAAACACTTAATGCAATATGCACACGTGAGCATGCAGGAATTGAAACAAAATACTTTCTACAGAGGTACATAATAATGCTGAAAAATTAAAATATATTTAATTTTTGTAATCAAAACCTGAAACACTTTAATCCAAATCAGTTACTGTTTTATAAACGTTTCTATTTCTGTATGCATTTTACATGAGTTCTCAGCAAAATGGGGGAGAGGGTAAATGTTTGAAAGCATTTGAGGTCTGTCTTCTCCTACTTTGTTTCTATTTACATGTATTCCAGCTTCAGTAGGAGCTTTCTCCTCTGCAGATGTCCAGATGCTTAGGTTTTCTCTCATCTCTTGTTGTGATTTACCCTCTATTTTGGATTCCCATTAAAGTTTATGACATACTGATAGATATATTACATCATACTTTACCTTCCATAGATATATTACATACATACTTTACCTTCAATGTATTTACTTAAAAAAAAACCCAACAAAATGGTAGGAAGGGTATTTGCCCTCCCTTTAAGATGTACTGTAACCACCGGCAAACCAGATGAATGATAGCTAGAAATTTGAGGAAAACACAGGCTAATCCTACATAGGGGTTTACATCAGTGGTATTTGGCCTGCCAGGAGGTTTCAGGATGGCACACGCTGCATTCAGTGTTGTCCTGCAGGACGAGAATAATCCTTATGGGGCAGATAAAGGACAAGTTCTGGGCAGCTGAGCATTTGCAGCTCAAATGTCATAGGGAGCTGAATGCATGCTGCTTGTCTCTGGAAGCCTGTCTTCTGTCTTTTTCTGCTTATTTGTTTTTATTTGATTTTTGCTGGGTGTAGCCATCATGGTTTATTATGTTAGTTCCCAGTTCCGGTGTCGGAGTGGCAAAGGAATCCACTTGTGGTTTGTTGTTTTGGGGGTTTTCTCATTACTGCTGAGATTTGCTGTTCTGGTGTGAAAACTGCAAAAACTTTTAATTGTATTGATCCTAGAGTACTCATTAAAAAGCAGGTTGTAGCGGATGGAGAGTAGATATAAAAAGAGAACATGCAGAGGAAATGAAAATCACATAAAAGTTTAGTCATTCTTAGTGTTACAGATACACATAGTTTTTTACATTAATGTGATCTTTATACTTAGCCATCCTTTTCACAGTGTGTGAAGCCAGGAAGTTGTGTAAGTCTTTGTCAAAATGGAATTTACTTTGCTGTTTATATTTCCAGAGGAAGCTGGTTAAATGTGCTCATAAACAAGAGCATTTTTTGTATAATGCTATACCAATTATATCTGAATTAATTACATTTAAATGATAAATTGGTTACTCTATGCAACAATTATTACCTGCAAAAAAGTGTTAATCTCTCATATAACTTTAATGAGGATCTTAAGTGATTGCTCCTGTAGTCAGCTCAGCTAGGGCTTTGAGCCCTTGGGCTCTGATTTCTCTGTGCTGTTTTGTGTGTCTGGTTCTAATAGGATACTTCTGTGCATTTTTTTCTTTTCTTTCTTCAGTAGCTTTTTCAGATCCTGCTGCTTTTTTTTCTCCTTCATGCAAGGATTTTCTTATTTTTGTCTGTGCATCATTAATATATTCTAGCTCTACATCTTCTAGTGTAAGCATTGAGGTTATTGAGTCTTAATCTACCATTTTTCCTCTGTGCTGAAGTGCTGAGAAAAAAAAAGAAAAAAAGAGGCAAAAATTATGGTTTGACCACAGACTTGTGCCTGAAGTTCCCCACAGCTTTCTACAAAGAAAATTAAGAACCTCTTCTATTTTTTTTCTCTCACAATTCCTATCACTTAATGAGAGCTATGCACTGAAATACCAGTTGACCAATTTTATTCTAATAAGCTTTTTGTCTTGGTTATTTTATTAAGGTTTGAACAAGCATTTATCAACAGCATGATCCACAGCATGGTGAAATCTGAGAAAACATATTTTTGGATAGGTCTGCAAGACCTTAATAACACAGGAGAATACTTTTGGCTAAGTACAGCAGGAAAGAATCACTCTGTGAGCTACACAAACTGGAACAAGTACCAACCACGTGAGTAACACGCAGATAAAAAGAGAAATGGCTTAGCAGTGGCTGGAGAGTCCCCGTCCTTTCCTCCCTGCCTAGTCAAGAGAGCAGAGAGATAAGCTTACATGTGATGTTGACTGTGTAACTTCCTACCATGGATGGAGTTAGATAAGTTGGCAGATGCAGAGAAGCTGTAGCTTCCCTCCCTGCTTTCCAAGCTGGGTGCTGTTATGGTGAGGTCCTTGCTTGTGGCAGGATGCTGGACATCACTCTTCCCTTAGGTGGGGAACTAAGGGATATTCCCCCTTAAAGGGAATTGTCCTAGAAGACGGCCCAAAATTTTAGGGCTCTGCTCAGACATAGCCTCAGACAGAGTTTTCCAGTGCCATTTTTCCATCACCTGTCAGGAAGGCAAAGAGTAATACAGAAACTCACGAGTTGGAAATGAGCTCTTTTACAGCAGCAATCACTAGGAAAATACTGAGTCAGCAAAAAAAAGTACTTTCTTTTTCCATTAAAAGTTTTACATGCATTTCTGTATGGCCTTTTCAAGGAGGTAATCAGGACTTCCTGATAACTCCCCTCAAAAGATCCCAGCGTAGTAATGAATTACATTCAATAATAGTCACAGTTTGTAATTTTCATTTTATATAGATAAAGAGGGAAGAGTTTGTCTTAGATACATTTCTGGCAATGGAAGTTTTTTCTTTTTCCCCTTTAGTTTGCTGGTACTTGGTTTGCTTGTTTGATTTTTTTTTTTTTAATTTTATAGTAATCCAGAAAGGAAAGCATTTCAAGAAGATAAAACCAATAGTGTTAAATACATGTTCATCCTTTGAAATGGAAACATCTTAGCAATACCCGAGTATAGAGATAAAAATAAAGACAATCCATTTCACTAATTGCTTCTGAGTTTTGGCCACTTGATCTTTATTTAGTATTGCAGCTTTCAGAAATAGTATTTTAAATTGCATTTAATCTCCTGCATTTTGAGGGAGGAATCCTTTGTCATGGTTCATTTTACAAGCTCAAGTCAGCCAAGACAGGCTTGTAAACTTGTTGCTGAGTGGAGAATTTGCTGCTTTTGTAAGTTCATTGAGGTTTTATCCAGAATCCAATGCCAAAAAAAAGCAGTCACTTACCAGAATTTCACAATGTAGAAATGCTTTATTCTGATACCCAACACTTTTTCCCATGTCAAGGTCATTCTGGAGGCTGTGTGGCTATGCGAGGGCAGCACCCCGTTGGTTACTGGGAGGTGAAAAGCTGTAAGAACTTCCAAGCGATGTCATTGTGCAAGCTAAAAATCAGTTCTTATGAAGAACCTGAACTTACTTTTCAAAAACATTTGAGTTCTTGCTATTTTGGATGGGAGTCAGAAGCCAATCTGTTCTACTGCTACAAGGTACATGACAAACTTACTTTGGATTTTTCTGATTCTGCATCAGCTTGTGGATACACTGTTATAAAGCTTTATTTCTTTTATTCAAAAAACCAAAAGTTAATTATTACCGTCCTTCACTGTGTTATAAAGCATGTGGAAGTCTGAAGACTTGAATTAGAACTGTCCTTGGAATATACGTGGCTTTATTGTGGGAAATACCTGCAGGAAAACCTGCAGATAATATTTGATTTTTGAAATGGGTTTCTGAAACAACTAATATCCAAAATGACTACATTTATGGAAGTGTTTATTTTATTGCAGATATTTCACAATGAGAAAGTTCTGATGAGAAGAACATGGGATGAAGCAGAAGCATTATGCCAGGATTTTGGAGCACACCTTGTTAGTTTTAGCCATATCTATGAAGAGACATTTTTAAACAATTTACTACATACAATTTTTGATAGGTAAATATATATTTTAAGACCAAGAAGATTTATCTTAATCATGCTAAGATGTAAAAAGATGTTAGTCTCTATTCTTCACTAACATGAACTTAAAAATAGTTGAAAAGAAGTGTATTAGCAACAATGTGATGTGATTATTTTTGAATGATACTGTGAATGTCAAGGTAATATTGTTGTGAGTTAATATTCCATGTTGAAATGGGATTTTAGCAATTTTAAACCTATTTTATATGTTTTCATCTTTAAAAGTACAATTTAACATCCTAGTAGGAAAACCAGAGCTTGCTTTAAGGATACCAGTACATTAAGAAGTCCATTACAGAATAAGATATTGAAATCAAGAAGAAGTTAATATGGGCATTTGTACTATTTAAAAGGTAATCTCTGAAATAGCTAAGGAAAAAATGTGTGAGAAATATTATTTTGTTTCCATCATAGAACAGAAGAAAGACAGTTCTGGATTGGATTTTATAAAAGAAACCAGCTTTCTGGAGGGACGTGGCAGTGGTCTGACAAAACACCTGTAACTATCTGTATACTGTATATTTCAGTAACCTTTCCAGCAATACCTGAATAGAAGTTGACAAAAATAAGCCTTGTGAGCAAACACTGGCCCAGAATACTATTTATTTCTCATACTTCACTTCAAGTAATTTTTACCATAGGATTAATAGTACATTACTATTAAAATAACAGCCTTTGCAAAAGGGTTGTGCAAATGCCAAAGGAATTTGTTAAGACCATAAAGGTTTGCAGATGTGCTCTCCCCTGCGAAGCACATTGTGCTTAACCCAGGAACAGGGATGTGCAGGGTGAGCACATATATGTGTATCTCTATATACACACCCACACTGGAAAGCCTGAACAGCTCTGCTTACAAGCTGTATTTGATGACTTTTAGCTTCATGCCTGTGTTCAGAGCTAAGTTTTTCCTTTTTTAATACCCTTGATTTTGAATGCATGAAGACGTTGGTGCCACGTGCCACAGTAGTGGTTAGTACCCAGGATGTAAACATTAATCAACTGAAGAAGGGGCAGTTTTAAAACTGTAAATGGTTTTCACCTTTAAAGAGCAGTGGCAGCTCTGTTGTCGCTATTTAAGCAATTTCAGAATGCAAGCGCAAAATCCAGTCATGTCACGTGTTGAACCAAAGCAAAGGCTGTTAGGTATGGGCAACCATTGGCAACCATTGCTAATAATGTAAAAAATTGTTAGGTTTCATAGCTATTCATAGTTATTTTTATGAAGAAGGAGTCTGAGATAAGATGGGACAGTTGAACAGGACATTGTGAGAACATGATTACAGATCCTAACTAATTTAAGTTGATCCTCTTGTTGTTACTTATGATATTCCTACCATACTCACATCTCCAAATCTTTCCTTTTTCTCCACAATGATACTTCTAAATGCTTCATCTTGGACTGGCAATGTAAGATAATGAATGTGCTGTTTTCAGGTTGTATCTTCATTTTTGGAGAGCAAGTATGTTGCTCAAGATGACTCCAGAAACTGTGGTGTGTTCAAAGTAAATAGAACAGTCTTCCCAGCACACTGCAATGAGAAGCGTGAATGGATATGCAAAATACCAAAAGGTGACATTTTCATTGCCATACACTGTTTATTTTACGCATTGCTTGCAATTAAGAAGAGACAACTTAAAAAAATAAATATCTGTAAGGCTGCTTTTTAACAAATCTGGAGTTCTCCTCGTTGATCTTCTCCATGAAATCATGGAGAAGCTATTTGTGGCCGTTAGGGCTTGTTGGCCAGTTAACAGATCTGATATGTGCTGTCAGTTTAAAAATGGATAGCAATAATGGAAAGTTAGTTAGCAGGACTTAAGAAAAGTTCTTATTCATAAAGTTTACTAAAAATGTAGTTTAGTAAGTGTAGCAATAATTTTATTTTATTCCATGTTTAATTCATTTTTATGGTTTTTTTGTCCATTAATGAGAATAACAATATTTGTTATGGTTTTAATTAAATCCTTCTCATGTGGAAAAAGCAATTTTAATGGAATATCTCTTTTCATTCTTAATTAACAATGCTTTAATTTATTAATTTTTTTTTTTGCAGGTGTTAAACCAAAGAATCCAGATTGGTACATCGGGGGTATGAAAATATTTTCTTTTTTCACATCTTGCAACATTATTATTTGGAAATAGAATTTAAGCTATTGGTAAAAATTAAATAACTAAAATGTTCAAAGTTAAAAATTTACATTAAGTACCTTGTAGTCACTTGTTGCTACAGATCAAAATCAGCCACTCTCTTGTTTAGGAACACTTGAAACATCAAGATGCTACTTAGGTTAGGTAAAGGACTTTTGCCAGTAATAATCGCGGGAGTTTGATAACCTTTCCATCACATTAAAACTGCCTTTTTGCAAAGGCTGGGCAAGTCTTTGCATGTTATTGTACTATCACAGGGTAGACTATTAAAAAAAATAAATTACTCATAGTACTTCCCCGCCCACATCAATTGGTATGTTAAATATGGTTCTGCTGTTGGTTGTGGTGTATTTGTCTTCTGACACATAAATCAAGGTAGGCCATGAGGATCACAAAGAATGAGACGCGAAATGGCTTTTTACCCCTGCACAGCACTGACTCTTTTGTTTGTTTTCTAGAACTTCCGTGGTTATATTATCAAGGAGCAGAATATCTTTTCCATGTCAGTCCTACGAACTGGGAAACGTATGAGTTTGTCTGTGGCTGGCTTCGCAGTGGAATGGCAACAATAAATTCTTCTGGTGAACAAGCCTTTATTCAAAATAAAATTAAGAAGGTAACAAAAACTACCCCTTTGAAAAAAACACACCCTCAGGCAGTAGCTGGCTATTTTCTGCTGCATCTTTTGGAATAGCTGGCTACCTGTTGCTCCACGTGGAATCTGAAAGATACTTTACTGTAGAAATAGTTGTCTTGATGTCTTCCCTTCCCACATGCCACCTTGAAGCCCCATTTAGGTAAAGGAGTCAGTAACATTTCAGAATTTGCAGAATTGTCTCTGCTGAAGAGTGGGTCAGTCAGTCTGCCTCAAAAGAACCAAGAGGAGCAAAAACTATCTTCCTGTCCCAACGTTTGTCAAAGTAATTGGGGTAAAGAGGAAAGTTTATTTCACATATGAAAACAAGCCTTCTCTTTTTCACCCATCATACCATTTCTGTTTCTTCTTCTTTCCCTGCCCCTTCATGACTGAGGGTTGTTGTGGATCCTCAGGTGTTCATACAGTGCTCTCCTGATCCAGCACAGTTCCACAGTAATCCTCTGTTCTTATTAAGCAACATACAGCTGGTCATCAGGTCACAATATTGAGGGACATTTCAGTGGGTATAATAGCATGAAGTGGCCAGTAAGTCCAGATGTTCAAGATGGTCTTTATAGTCTAAATCTTCAACGTGATGGTTTGAAAGGTTACTCCTAAGAGCTGCCCAAGAAAGAAGAAGTAACAATTTATCTGCACCTTAATTAAATCTAGAACTCTAAGCCATAGAGGTGGGTGCTTAGGACCTTGCAAAATAGATTACCTTTTCCTCTCTGTATGATGTCTCCTGAAGTAAATTCCTTTGTTACTGGATATTTATATAGGGGAAAAAAGAGATCTGCCTCTGAATTCCATACTCTGGATGAAAGCAGAGTTTTTGTAGAACTGCTCTAGTGTAACAAGCAAATTTGAAGCTAAGCAATAACTGGGCTGAAAAGCTCTTGACCCACATGTAGTTTTGCTTGCACTGTGTACAACCTTCTCTGCTTTTAACTTGTAATAGGAAACATGAGCAGAACTGCATTCCGTTAAGATGGGGATTGTAAGATTCCAAGAAAATTTGCGTAATTTTTATCTGCTCTTTCAGTAATTTTGTATCAAAATATGATGAACTGGATTTAAACCACCAGTTCACAGTAATAGCTTATAAGGAAAAAGCAAAATAATTGGCTAGGCTGACTTCATCCACATCTACTAGAGATTGTGATGTGATGTAGTTGTTACCTTACCTAAAGCTGAATGTTTCTGACTTTAAAAATATAACTTTAAAATAGGATGCATTTTTCTAACTTAAGATGGCTTAAAACGATGAATCAGAATACCTCTTGAAAATCACATTCACTTACAAGAGATCTTTTAAAAGTTAATTTATCATTAAAGTTTATGGATATTATGGCAGCTTGTGAGTATTCTGCAGTGAAAAAGCCAAGTCTACTCCCTTGGCATTGGAAATCAGGTTAAATTCCGTGAAGTTTTGTCTCAGAAAGTAACATAAGCTGCTATTTTAAAGCCTGCTGCCTTTGGCTAAGCTTTCCCAGTATGACTTGTTTCCAGTTGCAACCAGTTTCCTGAGGAAGCAGGAGTTAAGGATGTCAATCACTAAAATAATACTCAGCAACCCAAACAGACTTCACATGTGTCATTAGAAAACATGATTAAAATTTCATAGCATTGAATTTGAAATCACATTGGTCATGATTTCTGTAAAAGCTGTAATGTGTAGGCTGAGTGCTGTGATTAGAAAACTAAGGTTAGAGACCAGGCAATAGCAAACCAGACAGCATTCCTGAGTCTCTTCTTTGTCAGAAATGTCTACTTTCTTCATTTGACATTACTATATAAGCTGTAAGATGGTGAAATACTAACTGTAACTCCAAGGACAGTGTGGCTGCCACAACACAGATTGCAATTCTGTTCTTTTGGGAAAAAAAAATAATAAATGCTTCCAGTGTCCTGTACATTCAGAACTTTTTTGTGTGTTCTTGGCTCTTTCCCAAAGAGCCCAAAACTGTGACTGTTTAGTAGCTAACACTGGAAGTGAAGCCTGTTCATAGTTTAAGGCAGAATCAAGTCTGCACAGTAATAATAAGTGGCTGTTTGAATTATATTATTTTGTGACTTTTCCATGGAAGTATAGAATCCTTATGAGAACAGCAGTGAGCCTGGAAAGCATCTCTAAGGATCTCTGTATGGACTATACAAAGTCAGTAAATGTTCATAGAAGACATTTTGGAAACATTAAGAACCACCATTATATTGATACTATCGATATTATCTATTTTTAGGGGCTGAGGAAGAACAAGTTCTGGTCTAAGACTGCAGTCCTTTTCAAACCAGATAACAACTGTAAATTCCTAGAATTCTAAATTCCTAGTTTGCAGAAGATATATAAGCAATCCAGTGGAAACTGGGGGCTAGATCATGCTCTACTTGCATGAATTACCTTACTGAAGTGACATAAATTAGCATGGGTAGGATTTATCACCTGTTCTTCCCACTGGAACCCAAAGGAGATGATACTTGTCTGAATATGGTGCCTGACCTTAGGAGTTTGTTAATGCTTTGATAAGAGAGTAACAACAGCTAAACATATGGCAAAACAATTTTTTCTAGCTGTCGACTAATGATGTTCACTGGTGGATTGGATTGTACACAGAAGACCTTGGCGATGAATTTCGGTAAGAAAAAGACCTGTTTTGCAGGCAGCCCTTCAGTCTGATGGAATGAAGTGGTTTGATGACTGAGTGGAATATTCAAGAGACAACTTCAGTTCCCATGTAAATATAATTCAGAATATATTACCCATAATTTATCTCCATGTTACAGTATTTCTTCTGAAAGAGGTATAACAGCTATAAGCCAAAGACATGAGTGTCATCCTTGTTGTTGTTGGTTGTCTATTTTTTGACCCTTAGTTAATTTCTACCTTGTATCTCCTTACAAACACTTTTAATGGAGGCTGTGTTTTTTAGTAAGGATAGGAAAACATGTAACTACAGTCTTAACATTTCTGTGCAGCTGGAGAGATAAATCATCAGTAACATACCAGAACTGGAATGAAGGAAAGGAAAGAAATCCCCGGAAACCAGGGAAAAGATGTGGCTTCATTTCATCAGAAACAGGTTTATTTTATATTTCCTTTTGTTGCAGGAGCTGGGACTTGATTCTGTTGTTGGCCAAAGAGGTTATATTTTGTAATTGCCTTCAAGAGCGTAGTCCTGTAGTACAAAGTCCTGTTACCTGATTATAATTTTCATAACTGCTTTTATAGTTTAAATAGTAAAATATAATTAATATGCTCAGAACCTCAATTATAGGATTTTAAATTGTATTAATAATTCCAGTGCTGTCTCCAGTGATACTGAATCTTTAGTTTTACTTAAGAATTTGTTCTGTGGCACAGGAAAAATGTTAATACACTGCTGGTTTTCACAGTCAGTTTTATCATAACCAGCTGAGCCAGATGGGTGAGCAATTATTTTTTCCTACTTTTGTAAACTGTTTTTCTATAAGCATACAACTTTAAATCCTCAGGTTTCTAGCTTATTTTTGATCTCATAGCCAATCTGCTGAGGGATTTTTGAGTAGTGTGGTTTTGGTGTTAGTCTTTACATCATCACATAGCTCTATGTTTTGCTACAGTAATAAAAAATCTACAGTGCTGCTGGTTCCAGTGATTTTTAGCATCTCACAGTCTGTTTCCTGAGGATCTGTAAGTCATATGAGAAAGTAAATGTCAGGTTCTACAAAAGAAAAATTATCAATTTATATTTGAGGAGTGCTGAAAAAAAATAATCCAGTTGCATTCTTGTAATCCCAGCCTTGAGAGCCAAAACTGGAAAAAATATGAAACTTTCTTCTTTTCCCCAGACATGATTTTGGGGTTCTTATTCATGACTTTTAAATGCTTGAGTTTGGCATTAGTATCTGATAAAAGGCAGAGACACCCACCCTCCCCTCTCAACTGGCCAGCAGATGAGAGCTGGCCAACAAATGGTTGTGTACACTGGAAAAAGTATTTTCCTCCTAAGCAGGTTGGTGTTTTGTGTCAGTACCCAAACCTTATAAAAACTTTCAGTGTAAGAAAGTCAGACTGCTTCATCTGAAAGTCATAATTTCTATACTTTTCTGGTTTTGTGTTTTGTTTTGTTGGGGTTTTTTGCATAAATAATATTTTTTAAAATGCATGATGATACAGGCATATGTTTTGTGGCTCAGTGTAGAGGAATTGGTTTAACTTAATAAAATCAAACTGGGAATAAAAGTATAAGCCCTGTGGACTATCAAATCCACTGTAAAGTGGTATGTCCAAATGTGTCTGACTTGGAGTGTTGTCTTGCTCAACCACTATCAGATACCCTTCCTAACAATACCTAAAATAGCTAAGAAGAAAACCTTTTTCATTTCTTAAGCCAATATTGACTGGTGATTTTTCTTTTTACACAGGACTCTGGGGTGATGAAAACTGTACTGTCTCTCTTCCCTGTATTTGTAAACGTAAATTTGCATGGAAAATAGAGAAGGAGATTCCAAAAGACCAGAACCAACGAGGCATATGTCCCAAAGGCTGGTTGCACTTTGGATTAAAAGTAAAACATTTTTTTCTGCTGTTTGTCTATTAAAAATGCTTTTCATATTTATGAGAGTAATTGGACTTCTTACAGATTATTCAATATTTCCTTCCTTTTTGAAAGCAGGCCCTTAGGTTTATAACTACTGACACAGTGATACAAATATTTATGGCTGTTAATCAGCTTTGCACACAGAGGTTCTTAGTTCAAGGAAGTGAATACTCATATGCAAAAGCTATCTAGATGTGTTCGGGCATTTCCTGTAAAAAGCCTGCTCCGTCCTCGCTTTTCCACTTACTACAATTCCAAGTCTTTTTTGGTCTCTAAACAGTCCTCTGACCCCTTGTTGTACTAAACGGATCCCTAACTCCTGCCATCCTCTGAAAGATGCTGTTCCAAACCGGGTTTGTCAAAGATAATCATAAACCAAAGTCTATTTGCAGTTGAAGTTTGGAAGGCAATTATTTAATCAGGCTTATCTGAACATACGTTCCATAATAGCAACATGCATTGAGGTGGCCAGATTTTTCCCAGTACTGCACTGACTACAGGGATAAATCTAACCCAGATTGTGTTTGCCTTTAAACAACTGATTTGAATCCAATTGTGATTGCAGCTGAAAACTGATACATGTTGGACAGGTCCATTGCAGGACAGGAAATAATGAAATATTTAATATTCAGTAACAGCATGTGAAATGTCTTAGTGAAAAAACAAGTCTCTTTTTTTTTTTTTTTTAATTTTTAAGTGTTTTTTGATACAAATTCCAAAGGATCCGGAGCATCTGAGAAACTGGTACTCTGCACAAGAATTCTGCAATAGCTATGGTGGGTCACTTGCTTCCCTTCAAGATGAGCTGGAACAAGGTAGAGTACTGAAGATATTGTTAAATAAATAAAATTTCTTCTTCATTAGGATGCTGTAGTAAAGTTTCATCTTAGGAAAAAAGATCGCTCAGATCCTACTTGTAGTTTCACTGCTTTACACAAATTAATGATTCTCTTTCCCAGTTTCCCAAAATGTAGATTCAAATATCCAGTGATCTATACAACAGGTACATTTTGAGTAGTAATTATAATTTCTTTTGTGCTTACAACCATGCCTTAGAAATACAAAAAAATAATGGAATATACGTTTTAAAAATTCACTATGTAAAATTTCTATCTCCTGAGTGCGACATCACACTGTTATAAAAGCAATCTCATTTTTATCCTATAATAGTACTTAAAAGCTGGTCTATAGCACGTAAGCACAGTGCTAGACTGGAAGTCTCAGAGAAATAAATGCCAGCACATTCAGAAATCTTTCAGTTCTTTAGTGTCTTTGAAGATACTTCATCTGTCCCTAATGGTTACCAATTAATTGTATTTTATTCCTTTTTCATTTTCCAGCTTTCATAACAATGAATCTGTTTGGTTGGAAAACTAGTGTTTGGATAGGTTTCCAGAGTGATGATTATGAAAAATGGCTCAGTGAAAGTCCTCCAGTGTATTCCAACTGGTCTCCAGTTGAAGCAGTGGATGTGAGTATTTCTAGGGGTTTAAGGGCAATGAGTTCTTGTTTTATCCATAAAAAACTTGACTGCCACAAAGACAAGGCCTAATTTGTTACAGCAGCTTAGTCTTAATCTTTTTTAACTCTAATTTTTGTAACTTCAGACAACTGTGGGCACAAATTTAAGAGCGTAATGAGAGGTAGCAAAATGGCACTATCAAGGCAGTTATTTGTGGCTATAGTCATATTCGCTTGCAATTGCTTTTAAGTGCTAAATTTTGAACTATATGGTTGGTATCACATGCTGGGTCTGAGCAAGGTTCAGGAATAAGTAAATTAATTTCATTTTTAAATATACTGTTTTATACCACATTATTCTGTATTGGACTTTGCATTTTAGTTTGTTCAGTGAAAGCATGTGACTTTTTTATTATGAGGTTAGTGCTTCAAATTGTATTTATGAGAGTGTTCATTGTTCTACTTAAATATTTCTGGTAGTGACTTTCATACAATTACTCTTCTAAACTTAATGAAATAATTATGCATTGTTTTTACAAAGTGTCTTTTTAAATTAATAGAATGTTCTGTGTTGATTGCAGAGACAGCGTTATAACAGTAAAAACATTCAAGAACAACTTCCACTATGTACATTGGTATCAAATAACCCTAATTTTTATTTTACGGGAAAATGGTACTTAGAAAACTGTCAGAAAAATTATGGGTTTGTCTGCCAAAAGACTCAGGGTAAGGTTTTGTTTTGCTTTGCTTCTTTCCTCTTTTCTTATGGTCTTGAATTCATCCCACTTTATTTGCATCTAGAAGCAGTTTTAGGTCTCTATAAAACCAGGAACATAAAGGATTTCAAAAATATTTGTACTCTGGTATTTTAAACTGATGGGCTCTACACTACTTAATAAGTTAATAGCTGTGATGTAGAAGTAAATTCTAAAAATATATTTTGTTATTACATTTTCTTCCTAACTTGGAGTTTTCTGTTGCATATCTTAGATTCAGGGAAAGGAGATGAAATTTCATGTTTTTTTGTCATGGCAAGCAAAGTAATATCATGAAATCACAAAAGACAAAACTGTGGGTAATTTTTATGGAAATAATGTATTTTAAATTTTGTTTTTAGGGGATGGGACTTTGGCAATATTAGATCCTAACAGAGTCCAGAAAATGTCTGTGTGTGAGCAGAGTGGACTGAATGGCTGATCAAATAGAGTTTGGCTTTTCTTTTCATGCTTCTGTTGCCATAAGGTTCACCTGCCAGAAACACGGAGCTTTAGTGCAGAAGGCACATTGTTTGGTTTCCCTGAATCACATTCCAGCCTTGCCTCTGGATTGGGAGCTGCTGGCATCCTCAGGGTGCTGGCGCAGCTATGGAGCTCTGCCCCTGGGATGCTGCCAGAGCATAGTACCAAAATAGACCAGCAGCAAATTATTAACCCTAGAGCAAAAGGAAGGCTATAATGGGAGCCTGAGGAGTGTCCTCGGGCGCTGGATTACATGGCAGGAGTGGTTTAATGCAGCTCAACTTCATGTATCACCTCTTGGTTCAGCTCTGGGTCTAAGGAGCCAACCAACCCTCTCCTGTTGGCTGCCCAGGAGGTGAGTGAGAGGAACTGGAGAAGTAGAATCAACAAATAGAAGCTGTGGCAGTGCTCACATGTGGGTCTAGCAAACCGTGGCTGTATTTGACATCATTTATTACGAACTACAGTTGCAGGGAGTGCTGGAGTAATCCTACATGCAGTGTATGGAGAAAAGTTATATATATATATTGCATTTTCCTGCTGGTTTCTTTCATTTACCTCCCAAACATTTTTTATTTTAACCCCTTACTGCTTCTTCAGACAGATGGAAAAATTACTAAAAGACAGGAGGGGAAGCAGTGGCCTTAGTTTGTCAGGGCTGTGGGATGCAGAGGGGGGCTCAGGACCCTTGCTCTCTTACACTTGGGTGAGTGTCACAGTGGCCTGTGGCCCTGGCTCAAGTCAGGAGGGGGACACACTGTACCCCAGCTGAGTTCTCCTGGGGACAGGGGACTAGTTCTGTCCCCTCAGTGTGACCACCCACAGCACTGTCCCAAACCACCTCGCAGTTCAGCTTGCTAAATTCAGCAGAATACTTCCCCATCTCTTGGTTAGGTTTGTGGGGTTTGTTTTATTTTGGTTTGGTTTGGTTTTTTTGTTTGTTTGTTTTGTTTGTTTTTCTGGGTTTTGTTTGTTGTGGGGCTTTTCTGTTTCTCCTGGTTGAGTTAGTTTTGTGCAGCTTTCCCAGGCTGCATCAGGCAAACACCAGACTTGTGCATGGGAATATGCAGCTGGAAGAACAGAGAAGCAAGGGAAGAAGTGAGACAGCCTCTTGCTGGCAGCAGTGAACTGTTGAATTTCCTCAAATGTCCAAACACATATCTCAGTTCCTGGAAAGATGAGCTGGTCCTTGGCTTTTGCCATCCCGTTCGCATCTTGTCTCCCCTTTTTAAATGTGTTTTTTTTCTGTAGGACACTAAAATGAAGTAAACCAGCAGGAAGTCTGAACTGGGCTCTGATCTCATAGTGATGCTGGAGTTAGGATTGTGTCAGTATTTTGCTGCATTTCCTGCCATTCACTGAAAGCTGGAACAAAACAGTGCTTCAGTTAGCTCAAGAGCAGAACTTTTTCTTACTTAAAATTTTTTAATTTAAAATGATTTGTGGATGACAAATAAGAAATTAATTTGCTATTTTAAGATACTTGTTAATATTCCTCCTCTCTTAGTCATAAAGGGAACCAAGTCTGAAAACATTCCACCTCATAACAAAGCAACCACTTCATTTTGTAAGCACAAAGAAGTTTTACAGACAGAAGTAATTAATCCAAACTGACAAACAGGATTAAAACTGAGGCATTGGTTTTTTTTAATAGGCTTATTTAAAGTATACTGTGTGCATCCATACACATGAGCAAAGGCATTTGCCTCCTGTAGAAACATGAGCATGGCAGCATTACAGCTGGGCTGGGGTGGATATGGTCTTGGTCTCCTCATTTTTCTCTCAGGGGGGACTTTCCCTTTATTTCTTAAATCTAAAAAGTTTTTTTGAACTGTGCTATGTTAGTTTATTATTGAAGACTGATTTAAGTCTCCAATCACAGAGATTTTCTCTTTAAGTGCCATTATTGTGATCTTCCCTGTGTTGGGTCATGGGTAGTGAGGATGGGTTCAAGGTGCTCCCTAACATGCAATTCTACCATGAGCCAGTTTGTCACCCCTTGAGATGTGTCAGTACAGTTATTTGTGAGGCCGGTCTTTGTGCTGTAAAGTGATCTTGTCATTATTAAAAATAATGGACCAAAAAAGAGGTAGTCTAAATTACATGCAGGGTACCTGGGATAACAGCACTCTGCAGCCCACTGATATTGTACACTTGGGGTATGCCCAGATCCCATGTGATTTCTTACTGACCTTCAAAGATCCAGTCAGTGGAACTAACTCCATCCAGGTTTACTTTTTTGTTGTTACACGTTAAACTCATTCACTCCTGTGATGAGTTTTCTGCTGTGGTGGAATTTCAGATATTGCCAGCATCTGTTTGTGAAGTTCACAATGCCTTTCTGAAACCAAGGAGTGTGCAATTTTTAGATTTGTTTTTTAAAGATAGTTCTGATTTTTAGGAACTGTTCTGCTATATTCAAGCTGTCTGTTTAAAATCAAATAAATAAATCCTTTCTTTCTGTTTCTACCAGATATATCCAGACATATCATCAATGCATCTGAAATACACCCTGTTCCAGATACTTTAGAATACGGAAACAGAACATATAAACTAATACGTGGGAATTTTACATGGTCCTCAGCTTTAAAAACCTGCATGGAAAATGGGATGGAGTTGGTCAGCATCACAGACCAGTATCACCAGGCTTTCCTGACAGTCATTGTCAATCGGCTGGGATACAGCCACTGGATCGGACTGTTCACTTCAGATGTACGTAGTGGATCTAGTGAGAGCTGGTTGGGTGTAATGACTACAGAAAGCTAAAAGCCATAGAAAACATTGAAAAACACACACAAAATCTATTGTAGTGTCAACATTGAAATTACACGGCTTCATTTTCAGTTTCTCAATGGCCCAAGTAATCATGCTGAAAAGGGCAGGTTAGAGACAAATTTGTGGTCTCCCAAAATCCAAGGGCTGGAGCACCTCTCCTGTGAAGACAGGCTGAGAGAGTTGGGGTTGTTCAGGCTGGAGAAGAAGAGGCTCCAGGGAGACCTCATAGCAGCCCTCCTGTACCTGAAGGGGCTACAGGGGAGGGGCTTTTTACAAGGGCTTATAGTGAGAGGACAAGGGGTAATGGATCAAAACTGGAGGAGGGGAGATTTAGGTTAGACACGAGGAGGAAATGCTTTAGTGTGAAGGTGTTGAGACACTGGAACAGGGCAATTGTGAAAGCCCCATCCCTGGAAGTGTTCAAGGCCAGGTTGGATGGGGCTCTGAGCAGTCTGATCTAGTGGGAGGTGTCCCTGTCCATTCCGCAGAGTTTGGAACTAGATGATATTTAAGGTCCCTTCCAACGCAAACCATTCTATGAAAAGCAAGTTGGGTAGATTGTTGGTTCTGCCTTTTCTGGCTCTACCCAGACTTGGGAAAGGTAAAAGATATCCTTTAATACCTGGTGAGGATGCCATCAGAAGATGAGCTTGTATCATGCTAAAGCATATTAGAAAGATAATCTGAAATTTGTTTTGGCAGAACGGGCTTAATTTTGAATGGTCGGATGGGAGTAGGTCTTTGTTTACTTTCTGGGAAGATGACGAGTCACAGGCTTTTGGCAGCTGTGTTTACATTGATACTTCAGGGCACTGGAGAAGTGCTAACTGTGAACGACTTCTGGAAGGAGCAGTTTGCCATGTGCCACCTAGTAAGTCAAAGCTCAGTTTTCTTATTAAGTCTTTGCAGCTCCAAATGTATGTATTGACAGTGAAGTTTATGAAAAAACATTAGTTGGTTTGAGGTTAAACAAAGGTGAAAGTATTATTCGAAATTAAAATAGATTTTTGGCATTTCCTTGCTGTATCTCCTATTTTTGAAACCCTTTTTTCCCCATAAAATATTTGCCATCAGGTCTCATCTGTAGAAGAATGGTAAGAGAACTTCCATGATTGAAGAGAAACAGGAAAACTAATTGCTCTGTCTTTTCAGTGAAGGCTGTTATCAACAATGATTGCTAATAGCCTAGCTTGAAGGGAAATAATTTCAGTTTCCTGCAATTAACTGTGAGATGAAAAAAGGGAAGCAAAGTGAAAAATTAGAGTCTCCATTCAGTGCAGGACTGCAGAGTCTTTGCCAGCATCCAGTTCTCAAAATAGTTGCTGTTTGGTGGCACTGATCACCAGGGGTTCACCTACAGCTTATTGTAGCTTTTGGATCTGTTGAGAAGAAAGCTGTTTTGGAATCCTTCAAGGCAACAGTTACTCTCTAGCACGGTTACTGTAGTGAAATTGACTAATTTTCTCATTTGTCATGTAATCATACATATAGCCTAAGGTTTACTTAATTTTTAAAAGTTGTGTTTGTGTAGCAAAGTTGGGTCACATGTGAGACCATAGGGTTCACAGCTGAATCTGCAGCACTGCCACAAACTGACAATGGGTATTGCAGAGGAGCTTGTAGAGCTGCCCCAAGTCAGGGGCTCAGTGCTGCAGCACAGGGCACAGCAGAGAGGCTGGCTGCTGCTTTCCAATGGGAGACTCCTCTGTACTGTGGGATTTGGCATGAAGTTATCTTTGCAGCTTAGTGGAGAGAAGCTCTGGAGCCCTTGGAAATCCCCAGCCCTTTCAGAGGTGCTGGGCAACCCAGAGGGCTCTGATGTGCTCATAGTTTGCTCAAAACGCCCCGCTTACATCAGGGTTGGTTAGATTGTCCTGATACTGCTGTTGCAATCTGGCAAAGTTTTTTTTAAAATCAGAAATAAAACCAGCATTAAGGTTCTAATGCAAATATATATAACCACTAGGTTTTCACTTTGAAAAGCAGAGGCATAATGCAATAGTATGCTTATTAGCATCACTCCAAAACGGCGTGTGGAATGTTATATTAATGTGTATGTTGTTGTGCCAATAAAGCTGTGCTGTTATTTCTATCACAGAAAAAAAGCTCACTTCCTACAAAGGCTTATGTTCAGAAAAAACTGTTCCCTGGATCAAATTCAAAAACAATTGCTACAGCTTTTCCACAGTTCTGCAGGGCACAAGTTTTGATACTGCATATGAAGTGTGCAAAAATCAAGGTAAGTAATTATTCTGTAGCTAAAAAGTGTCGTTGTGATGTCTTCAGAATGTATGTCATCTGAAATCATAGCATGTGTTTTCTCTTGTTCAGTGTAGCAATAGAGAAGCTCATAAACCAGCCAAGAAATAGGAGGCAACCAACTTCAAAAATGTTCTTTCCCACATGAAAATACTGATTTCTGGAATAATATGTAAAATACTTTTCAAATTTTAAAATCAAATGAGAACAGTTTTGTATCAGCCTGAGCATTTTCATATTAATGGCAAATTTAAGAGCTTTTAACAAATAACCAGACTAAGCTTTTCAATTAAAGTTCATAATACTAAGGTTTTGAACTGCAGGGTTACATTTGAATGGCATGGGTTTTTCAAAGACTTCTTTAATGTGTTTAATTTCAAAATGTCTTTAATCTTTAGGATCAAATCTCCTAACTATTCAAGATGAAGATGAAAATGCTTTCGTTATGGAAGAATTGCACAGTTTTGGTTATGCTGTACAAATGGTTTGGTTGAACATTCTGCTTGTTAAAGACAGTAAGTTTTGGGTAGAAGAGAACTGCATGTAGAAGTCTGTTTTGGCTTTTGGTTTGGTTTTTATTTGAATGCTGGTGTAACCATCTTCCAAAACACTGCTATCTTTTGAGATTTTTTTCACTGCCTATTATCTGTTTATGATGTAGTAAAACCAGTCCAGCTTTTTGTAGCTGTTACTTATTAGTATTCTGAATACTTAATATGTATTCATGTATGTGAATGACTTTATTTTCTCCTGAAAGAAGCACTACAGGCTTCTTTCTCAACTATGTGGGATATTTTTAAATCCTTAAAAGCAAAAAAAAGTAATATAGTGGCCAAACAGACAAAATCCTGGTATTCTTTAATTCAATATTTATCTATGTGAGGCGAAGTCCAACTGAAACAGAGATAATTATCAAACCACTGTATTTTTCTAATGATTTATAACTTCTGCCCTTAGATGAGACGATCTCCTGGTCTGATGGCTCTCCCTTGAGTTATTCTAACTGGGGTATCAGGGAGCCTGAGTTTGATAATCTCAAAGGGAATTTCTGTGTCAGCCTGAGGACCACAGATGGTGTCTGGCAATTATCTCCATGCAGAGACAAAAAGGGATTTGTATGTAAAATGGAGGCAGGTATGTTCTTCCGTAAATTGTATCCTTTTAACCATTGGTTTATGTGTTACTTGTCACTTCCTTATTTGCTCTTAGTTCTCCTTTAATTAATTCCATCCCTCGGTATTTTAAGAAATACCTGCAAAAAAAACGCAGCCAGCCAAGGTAGCTTCCTGTGGAGGAACCTGGGCAGCCATTGTGTTATTACCAACTGTGGTAGACGTTCTGCTCTATGGATAAGCCATGTACAGAGAATCACAGAATCAAAAAATCACAGAATACAAGGTTGGAAGGGACCTCAAGGATCATCTGGTCCAACCTTTCTTGGCAAAAGCCCAGTCTAGGCAGGATGGCTCAGCACCCTGTCCAATCAAAGCTTGAAAGTGTTCAATGATGGGGAATCCACCACTTCCCTGGGAAGGTTATTCCAATGGCAGATTGTTCTCATTGTGAAAAATGTTCCTCTTGTGTCCAATCGGAATCTCCCCAGAACTAACTTGTATCCATTACCCAATTTCTTTTCCATGTGACTTCTTGTAAAAAGGGAGTCCCCATCTTTGTAGCCACCCTTCAAGTGCTGGAACAAGGTGATGAGGTCTCCCCTAAGCCTTCTTTTCTCAAGGATGAATAAACCCAGTTCTCTCAGCCTTTCCTCATAAGGCAGACCCTCAGGCTAACCTCCACAGACCCTGTAGAACAGGCAGGTGCAGTCCAGGAAAGCTGCACAGACACCACATCAGTAGGAATGTGGGTCTCTGAAAGAGCTGAAGTGTTTCAAGACCCCACCCAAATGCCCGAGTTGCTATTGGACTCAATAGCTAGGTTGATCTACCACTGCACAGATCTCATGCATTTGCACTTTTAAATGTGGATAAATGCTACTGCTCATCCTTGCACAAATGTCAATTAATATATTCCACCAAATTTTAGGGATTTAAGGGATTAACAGATTAGGTCATGTTTAAGTTGGAATGCCATTGACATTAGTAAAGGTATAGAACAACCTGGTCTCCTGTGGTTTTACATAGACTTTCTGGTATCAATTTTACCATGATTATATATAGTAAATTTTGTTAGCTCTGTGGATAATTTTATGACTGTTCTGGATTCTATTTCAGATATCAATGCAACAGAACCTTCTGAGGAATGTAAGTTTCCTCTGTACTTTCTTAATGTTTTTTTATAAGGGTTAATAACACATTTTTTAGCCAATATTTTGTGAAGTAACATTTTTCACTGTTAAACCTGTAATTTAAAATGTGTGCATATAAGGGGTAATAATACATTTTCCAGAAAACATCTGTATGTTTCTATTTAGAATTATATATATATTTGCTTACTAACAATTTCTGTCCTTCCCTTTCAGCGTCGTACCATGGGCTTGCAGCTCTGGCTGTTCTCGTGACATTAGTGATGCTGGCTGCCATTTCAGTTTTTCTGTGGTGCCTGTACAAACAGAATAACCAGCTCTTCAGCAGAATACTGTGGTTCAGAAACTCCTATTTGCCACAGATCAATGCTGACGTTCCTCCTTTGGAAGAAAGCATCCTTATTTCAGATTTTGAGAGAAGTGAAAATTAATCATAGAATCATGGAACCATTCTGGTTGGAAAAGACCCTTGAGATCACCAGGTCCAACCAGCATCCCTGTTCTACAAAGTTCTCCCCTAAAGCATATCCACCAGTTTATCAGAAGCAGCAAGTGATTACATCTTCCATGTGAAACTCCATCTACACTATCTACAACTGTTTTCTTTTTCTTGGGAGTCCCCCAGGATACCCATAGCCAGAGAAACCCTGGCAGCCGTCGGTATGTGATCTCTCACCTAGCTTTTTACAGAAATTGAATCCCATCAACCTCTTTTAAAGACATCTTTGGGCAATATCTGTTTGAAGGAAAAAAACCTGTTATAAATCTTGCTGAAGTTACAGGACTAAATTGCTTTATTGTTTACCTACAGTATTTGTGCAAGCAGTATTCATGGGTGCTCTTCTGAGACCCTGCTCTCAAAAGCTGAGGAGGAAACATGGGAGAGCCACATTGCTGTTCCCAGTGGTGTATAGTCCTATAACCCCATGTAGCAGACCCTCAGGACACTCTTCACTCTCATTGTTCATACTAAGGTGCTAATGACTGAGAAAATTTTCACTGACCAGTTGTTCTGCAGGCTGATGGTTGTGAAGGACTCAGCTCAGGTCTCTGCACTACCTCAGTTTCAGCAGCCCAGGACAGCAATGCCTGCTCTCCATGGGACTCCCTCCACCCTATCCAGACCTACAGCCACAGCTCTGAAAATACACGGAAAGTTCAGGGGATTTTATTTTTTTTGCAGCATGGAAAAACAAGTGGTTAGTCACGGGGAGTTACTTCAGAATGGATTTACTGTGCCTTCAGTTGTCTCAAAAAGCTGCTGTGAAGGGCTGCTTTTATTGTTGGTTTTGTTGGTTTGTTTCAAGGTGACTCATTTTAACAATGTTGCAAGAGCCCTAAGGTATAGGTGAGTTCCTGAGAACTGAGCAAGAAGCTAAGGCCAACTGAAATGTTTTTACATAGTATTTGTGCACATGCACAGGAATGTATGACTGCCTTTTAGGTAGATTTCACATGGCCAATTCTAGAAATACTGCAATAATTGTCTATTCATGTAATAATTATGTACAGGGCTATTTTAAAAAAATATTCTTATATAAAATAGTTCTGGGCTGGTTTACAGAACTGTTCAAAATGTTATCAAAGAGGCTGCAGATGGTTTTGATCCCAATATCATCTTCAACTTACTGTTTTAGATAACTTCTGTGGGTGTAGCTATCACAAGTTCTTAATCTGAGATTTTTCTATCATCTAAAATATGAACAGCTTTTCTGTGTGCATTTTGTCTAATGGGTTGACCCCATGTTAGTCTTCAGTAATGTTTTAAAATTTGTTCTTAGTCCTATAGATTTATCTGTTTTTATGTGAATTAAACTTCTAGAGTTTGTGGACTGCAACTTTTGAGTACTATTGCCAGGTCATCTGCTGTTTATATGTATGAAGTGTAATAACTTCTCTACCACAAAGAAAATACACCCCAAAGAAAAAAAGTTGTGATCATCTCTCCCTTCCCCATGAGAGATTCACTTGTTTAAACTACAGTTGGATGAACTTAAACCAGCAAATTTCCTTCATCATATTCACTGACAAGTGTAATTGCTGCCTTCTTACAGCAAGCAGAGTGGCTTGCAGGGTGGCTTTTGTTTGTGACAGTACGACAGTAAGCTACGTTGTGTCTGAGGACATGAATTTGTGCAGACTCTTGTCAGAATTTGATGTAGTTAATGAGGGTGTATATTTTCTTTTCACAAAACTTGACAGAGACATTTAATCAATTTTCCTTGAAGCATGTTGTAATCATTTAAATACATTTGAAAGACAGTGGTATAATAAATAACCCTAACCTCAAAATAGTGATAGTTGATTAACATTGGCTCTGATGTACATGATCTTGCACTAAGGGAAAAACAGTTCAAGCAGTGTTTTCTTCATACTTTGAAATGGTTTTGAAGGGGACAGACCCATAAATATTTATTTTTAAATCTTTAATCATTTAACTTTTATAATTGCAGGTATTATTCACCCAAGGATGTAATCATTAATTACTTTCTAGTCCTTGTTCTGGATTTTGTTACCATGGCTTTTGTTTGTTTTCCCTTAATCAGAGGTCTCTTACACTGTTCCTGATCAGAGTATGTGGTGACTATGTTTTTAATGCTGGCCTCGATGATACTGGCAGCCGGGTTTACTGTATTATTTCAACTGGAAAATTAAAGTGTGAATAACAATGTTCTGTGCCATAATTATTTTTTTTTTCTTTCCCCAGCTTTAATTAGCTGCCAGGCTTTAGTTCCTAGGCTTTGCACCAGGTCATCCTGGTAGAAGAGGGACAGCTTGCACCCTACTCCTTCTGGCTACCTGGCTGGACCCAGACCTGGGCCCTGCAAAAGGTCTCCACATGTGTGGTGGCTCCAGTGTTTCCCAGGGCACAGATGAGAATGCCCTGGGAACCTGTGTGCAGGAGTTGCTGGGAGGAGAAAGGAGCCACAGCACTATCCATGAGGATGATGGATGGGAGCATGGTGCTGATGCACAGAAATTCTCCTAGCCTATTCCCCATTCCCTGCAGCCCTGTGAGAACAGTAGTTGCCATGGTAGCACTGAAGTAATTCCCCTGTCCAAGAACTGGGTTCCCCAGAGCCCGAGCAGGCAAATCGATGTTGCATTTTCCTCTGTCATGCCAACTTCTTTGAATGTGTTTACTGAAAGGAAAATGTTAGATGTTTTCATATCACTTCTCCAATAGAGACAGACACATTCAGGCCAACATATGATAAACCTTGTCTACCAGGTATTGGGATTTAGGAAAAAAAAACCTGTGTGCTTACTTTTGCAGACTGCATTTCTGGAGAAAATTTACCTCCTGGTCCCTTTAGCAGTCCCTGCAACATTTTTGATGAGCAAAAAAAGCAAAAGAGCAAGGCCTCATCTTTAGCTTTAAATACTTCCCTTGTTAATCAGTGGAATGTTGATTTTAAACTTCTGTAGGCCAGAACTGATCTTGTACAACCTGGTGGAGCTCTCATGTAAATAACTGGTCAGGAGCAAATTAAAATCATAGAATCATAGAATGCCAGGCTGGAAGGGACCTCAAAGATCATTTGGTCCCGCCTTTCTAGGTAATACTATAGTTTATATGAGATGGCTCAGCAACCTGTCAAGCTGAGATTTAAAACTGTCCAATATGAGTGAATCTACCACTTCCCTTGGGAAGGAAATTCCAATGTTTGATTGTCCTTATGGTGAAAAATTTACCTCTTGTGTCCAATCAAAATCTCCCCAGGAGCAACTTGTGCCCATTACCCCTTGTCTTTTCCATGTGGCTCCTTGTAAAAAGGGAGCCCCCATCTTCTTTGTAGCCACCCTTGACGTACTGGAACAAGGTGATGAGGTCTCCCCTAAGCCTTCTTTTCTCAAGGATACATAAACCCAGTTTTCTCAGTCTTTCCTCATATGGCAGGTTCTCCAGTCCTCTGACCATCTTTGTGGCCCTTCTCTGGACCCTCTCCAGCCTGTCTGCATCCTTTTTGTAGAGCGGGATCCAAAACTAAACGCAATACTCCAGGTATGGTCTGGCAAGTGCCAAGTAGAATGGGAAGATGAATTCTTTGTCTCTGATGGTGATGCCCTGGTTGAAGCAGCCCAGAATCCTGTTGGCTTTCTTTGCCACTGCAGCACACTGTTCACTCGTGTTGATCCTGTTATCCACCAAGACCTCCAGGTCCCTTTCCACAGGGCTGCTCTCTAGCCAGGTGGATCCCAGTCTGAACTGCACTCCAGGGGGTTATGTGTTACCAGGTGCAAGACTTTACACTTCTTCCCATTGAACATCGTAAGGTTCCTGCTAGCCCACTCCTCCAGTCTCTCCAGGTCATCCTGGAGGGTGGCTCTCCCTTCCAGAATGTCAGCCTCTCCACTCATTTTTGTGTCATCATCATGGAGCAAATTCCATCAGGGTGCTCTTGACCCCAAAATCCAGGTCACTTATGTAGATGTTAAACAGCATTGGGCTCAATAACGATCCCCACTTGTGACCAGTTGCCAGTCTGAGGAGGAACTATTTACTGTCACCCTCTGGGCACATTCTGTCAGCCAGTTCCCTGCCCACCATAGAGACCACTTGTCAAGGCCCTAAGAAGTCAGTTTCTCCAGGAGGAGGCTGTGGGGGGCTGTATCAAAAGCCTTGGAGAAGTCCAGGTAGATGATGTCCACCACCCACCCTCCATCAACTGAGTGGGTGACTTTGTCATAGAAGGCATCAGGTTTGTCAGGCATGATTTGCCCCTGGTAAATCCATGGTGGCTTTTCCCAATCATGTGCTTCAATTGACTTGTGACTGTCCCCAGGAGGATTTGCTCGATGACCTTTCCAGGGACTGAAGCGAGGCTAATGGGCTCACAGGCGTTAAAACACTGTTGGCTATGAATTGAGGCTGAGCTCGGTGCTCGGAAATGCAGTCAGGCTCGGCTTGGCCGGTAGATGGTGGTAGTACACGCACAGCTGGCAGAATGAGCTTGTGCCGGAGAAAAGTCAGAGGCATCGGCTCCCCATCCTTTAGAAGATAAATTAAATAAGCAGCAAAACCCCCCAAGTCACAAGACTGCGAATATCAGTGTCAGTTCTTAGCCGTGGCCACGACATAACAAAGCTGTGTTAGGATGGCTTTCCACGTCACAGTGATGATCCTCAACAACTTTGATGGGATGCACTGAAGTGCTCAGAATGGGAAAACGCAAATCCTTTTGTTTTTCTTTTGTTTGGTGAGTGATGGGTTCCTGAGTATCAAATAAATAAATAAATAAATAAATAAATGTATATATTTGTGGCCTGTTTTGGTTCTGATGCCTTGGATGGAAAGGTAATTCACTGAAAATGCTCCAGCCATGTCTCTGTAAATGGATTTGTTTTAAAGTTTTATTTCTTGACTGTGTCAATGCAGGCATTTACTTATTAGTTTTTCTGAAGAAATGAAAATGAGGACATATAAATA